AAACAAATATGCAATCTATGTTCTAACACTCTCGAGGCATTGACGGGGCTGATGCTGCCTTGATTTTTCAGCTTTCTTTTTTTACAAAAATCATTTTTATTCAAAATAACACCTCTATGTTTACTTAGTAATCACGTGACTAATTCGTGGTACATGTCGCAGATCATTTTTTTCAAAAAGATATGAACAAGGGCTTCAAGAAAATATATAATTTGCTATGCTTCAAAACACTTTTCCTCATGAAAACAGTTTTTACTTTTTAGAGCATGATAACTCTACCGCATCCTTAAGCTCTTCCTAATTTGCATACAAGGTAAGATTTTACAAACAGGAAGTGAAATTTCCAACCTGGATTTTCTGGGTTCTTCTGTACTCGTACTGCCAAGCAGAATCATCCTTTTCTATGTTATACATTAGTTTGTCTCGCAAATCACTCAATTCAGCATTTAATTGAATTATCTGCCTTAGAAGATCCTTGAATTCACCAACCTGAAAGTAAACATAGTGCATGGTGCATCTCACTCATGTCAACAACAAGATGGTTTTTATGATTTGAAATACAGAGGAATGCATACATGTATTCCTGGGCACCTGGGCATTTTCATCACCGGGCAAGTACCACTAGTGGAAACAAACAACAACAATTCTCAAGAAATGGTACTTTAGGCTAGTTATTGCGATTCTCCTGAATAGTGTAACAAGACTACCCCCCACATATACAAGATGTATAAATTTGGTGGTTCAAGATTACCTCTAAGTTGAGTTTGTACTGTTTTCACCGGCTCATTCAGAGCAGTTCGTACATAGTCAATAGAATACATTGTACAGTGGTGCACATCCAAGCAACATAGTATGTTCTATGACGCAGCTCTGCCCCCGAAAATACCTATATGCAGGGCTTGAACATGACAGTGGCATTAAAGTCTTCATGCCCAAGAAGTTAATTTGTCTTGGTGCCCTCTCAACTCTGATATTTAAGGTAGAGATGCAGGTTCGTGGGCACTTGAGAGTGAAATTTTTTTGTTTTGCTTTTTATTATCCAAACAGTCTATTAAACTGTTAAAATTTTGTAGAATTGTGAATAGTGGAACATACTCAAAAAAACTTTTTAAAATATAGATAACAGGTGCAAACATTCTCTCTTTTGAATGCTTAGCAAGATTTAGCAAGGCTGTACATAAATAATAAAAAGAAACATGGTGAACAAGTCATTGTCAATGACACGTCCCTGTTCCGTTCATATTTGAGTGACATATACATTCAAAGCAGATCATGACCGAAATGCACCTGTATATGTACAACACATTGTACTAAATCTGAACAAAATCCATCCATGCATGACTGAGATCCGGTTCCGGAATTGTGAAAATACATGATTTTGATGCATTTTCGGCCTTAAAATGGCCATCATTCAGCTATTGTTAAGCGGATCATGAAACAAATGCACATATCTATTTGTGACATGATGTACAATGTACCATGTGTGTGTGAAGTTTGAACTTGATCAATCCAGACATGTCTC